GGGCGTCAGTTGCCCCATCTGGTCCAGCAGGGGTCCAACTGCATAGTTGAGAAAGACGTTAGATTAACACAGATACAAAATGCCCTTCCTCAGATCACTGCTCTCACTACACTGCCTTTAAATAGCCAGGAAGAGCTCACTTTATCTTCAAGACACAAGTCGGGTTGTAAGAGAAGCCTATTAACAAGTCTCTCTTTTTTTTTTTCTTATCACAAACAACAGATTGTCATTAGACTAATCCTTGCTAAGTAAAGTAGTCTTTTTCCAGAATTACTTTCTCTTGTTTTCAAAGAATATACATTTAGAGTGAAGTTTTTGGGAACTTTGGGTGCAAGCCATAAAAATGTCTATGGGAACACAGGTCACAAGTAAACAAATGTCCTAGCCCAGGGGTCAGCAATGTTTTTGAGCAGGGTGCCAAAAACACCCACAACTTTGACTTGTGAGATGTTGGTGTCAGGGCAGATAGCAGGGGAGCTGCGAGGGGCCCACTCGTTGTGGCAACACAGCCCTGGCCCCTTCCCCGAGGTGTGCTTACCAAGCAAAATGCCTTCACGTGCCACACTCTGGCACGTGTGCTAGGGATTGCCTGCCCCTGTCCTAGCCCCTTGTCACACTCCAAGTGGCCCAAATGTTGCTGCGACCAAAGGTACTCACCATTTGTGATGCCTTGTAGGGGAGGACATCTGTTTGCTTATTGTGTGCCCCAAGACTTATCCTGCAGGGGAATTTCTGTAGTGCACATATCAGGCTGCTGTTCTCCCAAACCCATGGGTGTTCCCTCACTTGCTGATATGCTCTGCAGGAATCTATCTGTAGGGGTTCCCATATTGTGTGTGTGTTGCTGCTGCGCTCCAAGTCAGGACGCAGCTCCTGAGGTTGTTGCTCCTCAGGATTAGGCCTCTGAAGCCCTGGGCCCTGCAGGACAATGGCCCCAAGTGACATCTATAAAGAAGATCAGCTGTGCTGACATATGGACATCCCAGCACAACTGATCCTGCTCCAAAGACAGTGTTTATATCCTTAGCTACTAGCTTTCCCAATAAGCTGTGATTCGTGAACATATACCCACGGTCTGCCTTTGGACTTTCAAAATGCAAATTCCCATTCTCTGAATTTCTTTTTGTATCCTGATTTAAAGTTTTGAGCTTGCCTTTTATTTCCTGTTATGGTTGCTCCTTGTTCTTTGTCATAACAAATGCATTTTTAATGTACTTAGCTCTGAGTTCTTCAGAGTACTGCAAATATGTGACACTACATTTATAAACCTGAAAAGGTTGTCTAAGGTATATTGGCAGCAGACTAAAGCTTGCTATCCATCATAATCTGTTCCATTAAGTCAGTGGCTGTTTCAAAAGAACAGATGACCTAAGCCTTCTAATCAACGTGTATGATATCTACTTTGCAATTTTAGCCATTGTGGAAATGTTCTGTTGTCATATTTCAAATAAACTTCTAAACATCAAGCTGTAAATCTGTAAGTTGGGCATACCAGCATCTAAAATGTTTAGGTAGCGCAGCTACTGATTTCTTTGATGCTTGTAAAAAAAATAAACAAATAAATAAAATGGTTTAACTAATTAATTTCTCTGGTGTTTGCCCCAAAATTAGAGGGTGCAGCAGAATACTAGCATAACGTCAATATGCAGCAGGAAATTCCTCTCGGATTGTGTGTCCATATTTGCCAGATGTGTATTGTATATACATAATTTAATCAGCTTGTTTGCAGGCCAGAATGATGCCAGTGTTCCTTGGTTTTAGCCATTATTTACCCTAAGTTTAAATTCATAAACTAGGCTTAGCACAAGTATAAGGAACAGGCTCCATGCATTTCCTGCCTCTGGAAAAATAGTACTCCCCAAAAGCAAGTGAAAACTCATATTTTGTAGCTTTATGGTTACAAGTAATCCTAAATGTGAGGGGTGGGGCGAAGTTTTATGCCTCTTCTGACCTGCTTTTAGGTTCTCTGAGGTCTGAAATGTTCTGTTCTGAAATGGAACATTAATTTTGAAATAAAGATGCCCATGTGTTTTGCATACCATCAGCTAGCTGCTTACCTCAGTTGGAGACTTCCTTCTATTAGTTTTTTAATGTAATTTTAATACCATTTTTGCCTGTCTTTTCCTATGCCTGCCCTAATAGTTGGACTCTAACTTTCCTTCAGAAAAACTTTTACCGATTTATACCAAGATAGAAAGATGCAAAACGAGTATAAAACTAAACCCTAGTACCAGATGTATATCCTTTGATATCCATGTTCATATTTAGTTTACTAAATTCTGTGAGCTAAATGAAGCTGCTACAAAAGTACTCCTGAGAGAGCCTACCTAAAAAAGTACTGCCTATTCTTCACTTGTAGTCTAGTCACCCAAAAATGAGAGTCTGAAAAAATGCCACTGCAATACAGAAACAATTAAAGTCTTGTTTCAAGGACTCTAATTTTCTGTCAGAAATTACTTCTTTGTTATAACATACTAATTCTTCTGACTTACAGTGAAAAAGAAGATGATGAAAGTGAAAAAAGAGAAGAACCAGGAGACAACTGGGAGGAGGCTGGAGGTGGTGCGGACCGATCATCTGGCCCTTGGAACAAGACTGCTCCAGCACAAGCACCTGTTGCTGAACCAATTGGTAAATTGGATGTAGCTAATTCATTGGTCTGTAAAGTTATACTGACTTGGTTCATATTTCTCAATTGAGTTTAGCTTTGTAGTCTACTTGGCTTTGTGACTGTTAACCAGTAATACTTAGCAGGACTGATACTAATCAGTAAAGGATTCACTTAAGAGTTTGAATTTCTGCAAATGCAGACAGGTGGCTTTCCACAGTGGCACATACCCAGATATTTGTGACTCAAGCAGACCTCAGATGGAGACATACAAGGAGTGACAGATGGTTAGAGATGGACAGGAAACAGTTCAGTTTTTCAGTCTTGTGAAGAACTGCACAGATTCTACCTAATCAATCTGACTACTGACTGATTTAAAGATTTGTGTAGTATGAATGTGACTGTTATTCACAAGTTACAAGCTAAAATGCTGTCCATACTTGCATGCACCTCCTGAGATTGCAACTGTACAGAAACTGTTGGCTATAATAGCTAAAGCTAAGGCTAAGGTTAGGTATTCCATATTGATGATGAGAAAATTTTGTTGGTGGGGGGTGGAATTTAAACATTTGATATTCCTGCTTCATGGAATGCTGTCTTTCCCTGATAGTTTTTGATTGCATCTAAGAATTTTTCAAGTAAATACAATTTTTATATGCCCTTTTGAATAAAATAAAACCATGGATTTTTTTTTTGAGCTGCTGGTATTCTAAAAGGCCTACCTTTTTAGGCTTGTAAGGTAAAATAAAACTAAAGATCCTTACATTAGAAGGAAAAAGTTTTTGGGGATTGAAGAACGGATTTAAAAATTCTTGGACTTAAGTTAGCCTAGACATATTATAGCAGACAAATGCACTATTCCCTTAGTTAATCATTGTTATAATGCATTTTACACACTGTTTTCTTTTGAGGCTGTAGACAGTTTCTTTATCTTCCCTCCCCCCTCTCCCCGCC